GCTAATTTGTTCTTCTACTCAACTACAGTTCAGAGGTACATGGTGTACTTCTACTCCACTACATGTATTTAATACCTTTAGTTACTTTACAGATCTGGATGAATGATGTGAAATATAATCAAGTGTTAAATCAGACTTTAGTTCCACCTGGAGTAAATCCACAAGCTACCCTGCAGTATACAAAGTCATTCAAACTAGCTGCACCTTTACCAGCTTTGATAACACTTTAATGATCAATCATTATAAAACATATCATATATATTATTCTGAAATGGACCAATCTGCACAATGACTACTTTTACTGTCGCTACTTTCACTATATTTTGATGAGAATACTTTTCTACTTTTACTTGAGGAAAATTTTGAATGCAGTACTTTTACTGTAACATAGTATTCCTCCAACCTGAGTACTTCTACTTTTACTCAAGTACAAGATCTGAGTACTTCTACTTTTACTCAAGTACAAGATCTGAGTGCTTCTACTTTTACTCAAGTACAAGACCTATACTTATACCACCTCCGTTTATAGCCTATGAAAAAAACTATTAGAAAACGAAGGCTAAAGCTAACGTTAGCAGATAGTGACAATGTATAGCTCAACGATTCCTTAAATAATATTGTGACAGAAACATTTTTCAGTGCACATCACGCTCTGCCGCTCCGACAGGGAGCTCTGATCTGAACACCTGAACGCCCCGTTCTAACAGCTGTTCACCAGCGGTCCAGTCTGTGCCACTGTGACTCCGGACCACACAGTTAATATTAACGAACGCACCCGTAGGCAGGCCCGGACTGGCCATCGGGAGGACCGGGAGGTTTCCCGATGGCCTGGCCTGTTAAGTGGCCTGCTGGCCTGAGGATTATTTTTTGTATGTATGTATTGTGAACACAACGCTGCGCAAATGTGGGTCTGACTCTGCCTCACAGCGGGTGACTGGCTGTCTACATGATGTGGCCTGCCGACATGGCCACTTTCATACAGATCATACACTAAAGCCCTCGATTGGTCTCTGTGTGTCATTCAAGCTCGGGAGGGTGTGTGTATGTGTGTCACGAGCGAGCGAGAGAGAAAGCGCGCGCCCCGGTTACGTGTATTGTTGTTGTTAGCATCTGGTGCTAGCTAGCTGCGCTAACGGATATCATGAGCTGTCAACAAGGTGGAGGAGAGTCCTCTCCTGTCAGACTGAGAGACTGATAACTACAGCTCAGCCTCAGGTGAGGTAAAGTGTTTAGTTAACTTAGTCTAAGTTCTCTGTGGGTCTCAAACGGTTTGGTCACCATTTATGTAAACATATATTTCCATTTGAAGGGGGAGTGATTAGTAAAATATGGATGAATAATAAAACTAGGTGAAAAAAGTCAATATAAACTTTAAAAACATGGTGAGAGCTAAAACTAGTCAAAGAGGAGCAGGGGGAGAGGAGGGAGACAGGTGAGGCTGATTCAGGAGCCTAGACACGCTCACAACTATAAATGAACCAAAAACAAATAAATAAACAAGTTTCAATGTTTTTTCATATTGGATATGGTATGTTATTGGTTATGGCCATGTTCTTATGAATTTATGATTATTTAAATGTATACAGTTCTGTTTCATATGGGTGTAGTCTCTTTATTTGCACCAGATTGATGCATTTAAGTCCAACATTTAAACCTCTTACCGGGGGAGCATGCCCCCGGACCCCCCTAGAGGATTTGAGGTCCACCTCAACCTAAAATATGTTCACATGGATAGGTTCCTAAATAGATTTGCACTTTTTTTTAAATTAGTAACCCATGTCTATGTTTATTCTGGGGTAGTAGATTTAAAGTTTAGGGCTATCACTATGGGCAGCAACGCTGTAAATATTGACAAATAAATCCAGAAAAATGGCACAAAAGAAAACTGGTAGTGGCCTGGCTGGGTGTATAATTCCCGGCCTGACTTATTGTCCCAGTCCGGCCCTGCCCGTAGGTAATGTAGCTGCTGAAGCTAAACCCTCATCGCGGAGCAGCAGCCTTATTATACATCCATGAGCAGAGCCGACAGGCAGGAAGACTCGAGCACACAACTCGCGCTTCATTATAATATATAAAAAAGAACACCATGCGTATCATGATGGCACATAACAGCTCGCGGCCGCAGATTACTCCGGGTCCCAGACCGCCCCATACCCCAAACATATTTTTATTGCAGATCTACATGAATCACACAAACGACCTATTTTGGATTCAAAACGGCGAATTTCGCCGAAAGGTGACAAGTTTGCATCCCTGTTAAATAAAGTATATCTATTTATCTAATGAGCTAAACCGTCGCTTAGCGTTAGCTGCTAACTGAAGAACCCCATTCATTTCAATGGGAAAAATGCAACGTCACGGTGAATGGCGATGCTAATAAGCAAGTTAGCATATATTTAAAACCATATCTATAGTAAAGAGCACCAACCCAACAACTCAAACTGTCTTAAAGACAACTGGTGTAATAAATTACTAACATAAAGTCAGCTGAGCATTACAAATAAACTGTTACTCACCCAGAGCCGAACTGAAATAATAACTTTGGCTGTTAGTCAATAGCTGTTAGCCGATAGCTTTTAGACTTTAGCTGTTAGCCGATGTTGGCGCACATTTCAAGTTTTTTTGTGAGTTTCTTTCTTCTAAGATTACAGCTGTTGTGTTAAATAAGATAACTTCTGATTCGTGATTAACTGTAAGCTAAGCTAACAGGTGTAAATACACTTAATGAAACCTCTGCAGGTGTTTAATCCACTCACCTCTTCTTCTACCTCTTCTTCTCTCGGATTTGTCGGATTGCAAACAACTTAAAAGGTGCATACCGCCACCCAGAGCCCTAGAGTTAGAGCTCACGTCACATCTTCAGTTTTGGCGGCAGTTCTCCTGTTTGTCTAGAAGTCTTCTCAGCAGGGCTCTATAAATAGAGAATTACGGCAGATATGTAATATTTAATGCAGCCGAACCGTGTATTACAATGCCGTTATGTGATGACTTTCAAAGAGAAAAGCAAGCACACTCGGAATAAAGTATTATTGTATTTTTAAAAAACGTTTTCAGATTTCACATCACATAAACACCAAATCCCAGCATGCATTGCGGATAACCATCCAATCATCGAGCTGAGGATCTTGCCTACGTCTGTTTCCGGTTTCGTTTAATGACCGATGTATTTTCTTATACACACATTCCTTCACATTTACATTTTAATGTGCATTAAAGTATTTCGTGAGGCCTTCTAACATGTTTTTAAATATAACTACGGTTGTAGTTGAATAGTTTGTAAATGAACATGAACCGAAGCTGTTGCTTGGCAACTCAATCGCACAACGTCACGTCCGTTAATTCCACATCCACACGCACGGATTAACATCGATTTAATACATTAATGTAGCCTTTGTTTCTGCTAAAAGAGGTGTCGACCAGCTGGGGCAACAAGAAAATCGCCGTAATCGAGTGTGACTATTACAAAATAAATCATTACGTCGGGGTAGCATTTGCTTGGTATTTCCGGTTATTTCTCCACTGGTTAACATGGGTTAACAATACCGTGTAGCTGTCACGTTTGAAGGGGACGAAATCGTGACATCTTCACGTCTCCCAGCATGGTAAATCGTCACATGTTCACGTCTTGCCGTGATACCGGGTTGAGCGAGTTATGTGAATTAAAATCCCCACACCATATTACTTTGTCTTGCAGTGTACCCCCAAGCATCCTCTAATATACTTTGATCTAATTTCCCACATGGATTATAATAATTTACTATATCTATAGGTCCTCTATCATTCCATACCCTTATAAATATTGCTTCATGATCTGTATTTACATGCATAACTTTATAACTTATACCACTCTGTATGAATGTTGCAACTCCTCCCCCTCTGCCAGAGTCCCTATCTCTTCTAACTGCAGTATATCCCTTTACAATAAAATCCAGTTGTGGTTTCAGCCATGTTTCCTGAATACAAAGAGCATTAGGTTTCTCTCCCAGGTTGTCAATATATTTTTTGAACTCTTGTCCATTTGCAATTAAACTTCTAGCATTCCACTGCAGTACAATCAGGATGATCCAGTCCATGTCTGAGGTTATTGGACGTCATCATTTAGGATATCTTTCACATTTTCCCAGTGCATCCCTTTCACATCAAGGTACTTTTCAGCTGATTTGACAATTATTTTGATCCTTTCATTCCGGCTTGTAGTCTGCGCTGAACAGTTGATAATCTCTGCCATCAATACAAACTTTTTACGAAATAAGGTCTGAGTCCCACCGGAAGGGGAGGGACTTCGCCTCTCTATTGCTAGAGAGGTAAGGAACAAGTAAGCTCCTCTCTCTCCCTGTTCTTCTTTGTTCAAAACAACTTCAATGTGCAAACCACCACCTACTGTCCAATAGTGTTTTTTGTTTTTCCTCTTAAACTTCAGAAACGGCAATAAACAACCGTATTAACATTTGCATTGGAGGCATTTCATTATTTAGGTGAAACGTTTGTGCGTAAAGTTTTAAAAGATGCAGATAGTCTCTCCTTCATTGTGGCCCATTGATTATCGTTCCATGTGTTTTATAGATCTAATCTCATCCACCATCTTTGTTTGTGACGTAAAGGGTGAAAGAGTCACGTTTCTGAATCGGACACTCTGAGTGGATGCAGTCAGCCACTCGTAGTCTGATTCAGAGGGTTCCCTGTCAGTAATTTCCTATCTCTATATTATTATTATTTATAATGATTATTATTATGTATTTATTTCAACAAGGACCATGCATAGGTGTGTGTTGTACAGTGTGTGTAGGTGTGTGTAACAAATTAATGTCTAAAACTCTTCCAAATGGACCCAGTTAATATATTAGAAAGCACAATATAATACTAGTATTGTAACACATTTTTATTAACATTTATAAAAATCAAATAATTAACAGTAACGCAGTGTATGTCTGCCTCTCTGTCTGTCTGTCTGTCTGTCTGTCTGTCTGTCTGTCTCTGTCCCTCTCTCTCTGTCTGTCTGTCTGTCTGTCTGTCTGTCCCTCTCTGTCTGTCTGTCTGTCTGTCTGTCTGTCTGTCTGTCTGTCTGTCTGTCTGTCTGTCTGTGAGAAAGACATGTCTTTGGCATTTTTGTAAACATTCTATGAATGCTTACAAAAATGCCAAAGAAATGTCTTTAAATAATTAAAGAGGACTTTTTTCCCCTCCACATTTAGGTGGACTCCATCCCCAGTAAAATAATTTTGAATAATCTGTCTGTGATGGAGAAACAGTTTCCCGGTAGGGAGGTGAATTGTGTCCTTCTTCCTCCGACACAATTCGTGGAACCTGCGGTTGGTGTCCCGCACCGTACCCATCGTCCTTTGGTTGTCCACCAGCCGGGGGAGGATAGAGCAGACGGCCACATAGAGAGGCTCTGCATGGCCGTGCTGGATCCGGTCAATGAGGGCCTCCATTTGTCCCACGATGGCTGCTGGGGACAGTCCGGAGGCCACATCATCGGTTCCGATGTGCACGACCACCAGCGCCTCCCCGGTCACCCGATCAAATTTCCAGGCGTGCTGCTCCAGGCTCCGCGCGAGGAATGTGTCTGGGTGGACATATGCAGCAGTCAGGTGTGGTATCTGCTCTTCAACACCCTGGCATATGGAGGCTGCGAGCAAGTACACTGGGAGCCCTACAAACACAGAACAACCGTTACTAAATAGTGTACACACAAAACCAGAGCTTCCCTTAGAAATGTTTTGTAGCCGGTTAACATCGACAAAATGAGAAAAAAAGTGCAGGTCAAACGTCTTCTATGGTATTTATAGAGTTTTAAAAGAAATTGATAACGACTCTATATTAAACAATCTAATTATGCTAGATTAACTACATGATTCAAAAGTGTACAGTAACTTTGGATAATAAATGGAGCCTGTGTTTTCCTCTCTCCTGACAGCAAGTCAGTATCTCATGCAGCTGGCTGATCCAGAGTAATGAGTGAGCCGACAGTGAAGAATAAACATATTTATAATTAGTTTAGCTAGTTCCAGAGGTAGATAGAATAGCTAAGTGTGTTACTTCTAACTTAAACAATATTAAAGCAGCCTACCTTTTCTCACAGCGAAGGTCTTCTCTGCTGCAGTGTAACGCACAAGTTCATCTGAAAAGATCATTTTCAACCATTAGTTTAATAAATTCAATCATATTCTAACAGGCAGCGCTAAAGCAAGCACACAATGAATGAATAACAAGTAGCATTAATCTAAATTCGGCCATTTACCATAGGAATCCATTTTTTCTCTGTCGCTCTTGTCTTCTTGCAGAATAAGAGGCAGAAGATGCAAGTCCTGTTTAAATACTGCATCATTTTCAAATCGAGCACATCAGCCAGCCAGACACAAGTATTAAAAAAAGCCAATCAAAAACGGCTATTAAAACTGTTTTTTTTCAAACTACTATTCAAATCTATAGACCTTTACCAGCCCTGAGCAGTTTACAACGCATCAAAAAGAAATACTGACGTTAATAAAATAAAATGTCAAAGCAATTTATTAATGAAAATGCAATAGTTCCTTGAGTTTATATGAAGGCAGATTTTTGAAGCAGTTATTGGAAGTTTTGGGCGAAAGACTGTATTTTACAAGAGGCGTTTGAACGCATCATAGCTTCACTTCCTGTGAACGTTAGTTCTGTCATCGCATCAAACGAGTAAGTTGCTCTTCTTGACTTTAGCTTCGCAGCCTCTTCTTGTGCTTAGTTATGTATAGCATGAATATGATAATGTGTAGTTTATTATGGCGCTATTGTCATGTTTAAGCAGATAAACCCTACAGCCCCCGTTAGCGGGGATACAGGTTTTTTTCGTCACGGAACTGTGTCTCAGAGCATGTTCAAATGTAACAACCTATTAATGTGTCATACTCAGTTAACGGGAAGAAACTCAGCTAACTGACGAACTAAACTAATTAAGTTGTAATGTTGAATCTGTGCTCGTTTCCTCAGCCTGCATCAGTGAATATGAGCCTCAGAGACATCTACTCACCCTCTTCTATGACTCTGACCCCTCGTTCAGAAGGCGGTCCTTCAGCTTTAACGTCTTTGCTCTCCTTCACTTCTTTCTCCACCTTCACCTTCACTTCTTTCTCCACTTTCACTTCTATCTCCACCTTCACCAGCTCCTCCTTCACTTCTATCTCCACCTTCACTTCTTTCTCCACCTTCACTTCTTTCTCCACTTTCACTTCTATCTCCACCTTCACCAGCTCCTCCTTCACTTCTTTCTCCACCTTCACCTTCACTTCTTTCTCCACTTTCACCAGCTCCTCCTTCACTTCTATCTCCACTTCTTTCTCCACCTTCACCTTCACTTCTTTCTCCACTTTCACTTCTATCTCCACCTTCACCAGCTCCTCCTTCACTTCTTTCTTCTTCTTGCTCTTCACACCCTCCTCATCGTCGTCTTCGTCCTCTGAGCTGGAGACGTTGTAGAAGTGCTTCAGGTCCTCGGTGGAGGTTTGGTTGATGGGTCGGCCTCTCTTGTTCACCGTGTATTTCTCCGTGAAGCGCTTGTCGTGAAACATGGACTGGAAGCGCTTGTCGATCTTGCGTTCTCTCTCGGGCATCTCCCAAAACCTGGGGTCCTTCTGAACCCGGAGGAAACGCTCATCGCCGCCCTTCTTATTGGACGACATGGTGGCAAACTGAACGTGTCACCTGACCAATAGAGAAAGGACATATTGTTGGATTAGTCACATGGACAACAAGCACTACGCTTCTTTCTTATATCATGTCAGTGTTTCCCACAGATATGAAATATACTTGGGCGGGTGGTGGCAAGGAGGGGGGAGGGGGTGCGCGAAAAAAAAAGAAAAAGTTTTAACAACATTATTTATTGACTTTTCATTCCGGTATAATCATTTTGCGCAAAGATGGCACTGTTTGTCAGAGCACTTCATCCTTCTGGGATTTCATGAAGAACAGCTCCAACGCCTGTGTGTATGGGAATGCCTTTGGTGCTGGTCCATTAACTGCCAGTGTTTCCCACAGATCTGAAATATACTTTGGGGGGTGGTGGTAGCGGGGGGGGTTGAGGTGACGTGCAACAACATTAACCTTTCTGTTGGTCGCTTGTTAGCAGACCCTTCACACGATGACAGAGCGAACAGGTACAGGCAGGGCCCATAATGATAGCCCTATAGTTTAAATCTACTACCCACACATGAACATATGGAAATGGGCTACTATTTAAAAAAATAAATGTATTTATTAATGTATTTAGGAACCTATCCATGTGATTTTTAGTGGGGGTCGACCTCAAATCCTCTAGGGGGGTCCAGGGGCATGCCCCCCCGGTAAGATTTTATTTTGGAGTTAAATGCATCAATCTGGTGCATTTTGAGGGGAAAATAAAGAGACTAGATCTATGGAAACACCTATATGAAACAGAATTGTATACATTTCAATAATCATAAAATCAAGGCCATAACCAATAACATCCCATTTCCAATATGAAAAAAACACTGAAACTTGTTCATTTATAGTTGTGAGTGTGTCTGTGCTCCTGAATCAGCCTCTCCTGTCTTCCTCCTCTCCCCCCCTCCTCTTTGAGGCAGCAGCAAAGACTAGTTTTCTCTCAACAAGTTTTAAAAGTGTATCTTACCTTTTTTCACCTAGTTAACTTTTTATTTATTTATTCATGCATATTTTACTAATCACATTACATTTCATTTAGCTGACGCTTTTATCCAAAGCGACTTATAATGACCGATTACAGGGACATTCTCCCTGGAGTAACTAAGGGCTAAGTGCCTTACTCAAGGGCACACTAGTGGTGGTGTTCCTGGCGGGATTTGAACTCACAGCCTTCCGATCTTCAGCCCACCTCACTCTCCATTAGACCAATCACTACCCTCTCAAATGGAAATATGTGTTTACATAAATGGTGACCACACCGTTTGAGACCCACTGAGAACTTAGACTAAGTTAACTATCTAAACACTCAGAGAGTCCTTTACCTCACCTGAGCTGAGGTTATCCCGAGCTTGAATGACACACAGAGACCAATCAAGGGCTTTGATTTATGATATGTATGACAGTGGCCATGTCGGCAGGCCACATCATGTGGACAGCCAGTCACCCTGTGTGAGGCAGGCCACTTAACAGGCCAGAAGGAGGCGAGATCAGAGCAAGGGAGCGAGGGATCATTGTCTACAAGTTAATCGATCGCAGATGGCGTCGTGGTCACGGACGAATACAAAAAAAAATGTATAAACAAAAAACAAAAAACTAAATGGGTCGCGAAATATACTTGGGCGGCCGTTAATATACCTGGGCGGCCCGCCCAGGTATAGTCTATGTGTGGGAAACCCTGCATGTGTATGAGCGTCTTTATCACAGAAGATTGTGTGTATTTAGTGCACCAAACGTTCAAGCTTATGATTATATAGCCGTACATTTAAGATGTTAGCATGTTTTAATACACATATCCTGAAGAGGTTATTGGAAAAAAATTATTGATTTTGGTAATGGTGAAAACTAGACAACAGTGATTCAAGAACTGAAAATATATGTATGTTTCTATAAACCTTGTTATAACACAAGCTAGCTAGTATTGATTATCCTCTACAAACGGTTAATGTACTGAAGATTATTGAGACAATCAATTAACAGTTTAGGTCACTCCAGAACAACGTTTCTTAAACCTATGTTTTGCAGCTTTTAAATTGTACTGTTTTTAGAATTTGGTTTGGAAATAATTAAGCAGTCTTGCTTGTCACATGAGTTTTAAACACCCCTCTTTTACATTTAACAAAATAAACTATTACTTGAAGAAAATAAGGGGGGGGGGGGTATATTCAGATTAACCTAAATAAAAGTAGCAATACCACAGTGTAAAAATGGTTTGTTACAGGTGAAATCTTATATTCAAATATACTTTAAATAACTGAAGTAAGAGTACTTGTTTTGCCCAAATCAGTATCATATATAATACAGTGTGCGAAAAAGTACACGTCCCACCGTCCGGGACGTGTTATTTACAATATCGGACAAGTAGATCTTTCAATTGACTTGTCCGGCGGACAAGTGACGTTTTTCGCCCTGATTTATTGACAAATTATTGATAAATTCAGTTAAAAGGCAGAACTCATTCGCAAATTGTACGTGTCCGCCATTGTTCGTTTAGAAGTGTTAGTTTCGGTTCTGCTTGTCGATTCCTAAGGAAATGCATCTCGCCGCTTTCTGTACAGTTAGACGGGGCGGGGCGGGAAGTGTAGCACAGTGGCAGGGTTGGGAAGCAAAACACGGTTCCGAGTAGGAACAAATAACAATTGTCCGGTACCGGGATTAATAAGAGTTGTGAGGACAGGAGGCGAGGCCGAGCCGCACGGACTGCAGCTCTCTCTATGCTCCGTATCAGCTGATCGCTGCACGGTGCAGCTCAGCGTCTCTCTCTCTCTTTCTACACACAGCGGATCCGCTGCCCGATTAACAGCCTCATCTTTGTCAAACTTTCTTATGTTCTTTCTCTAACACGTAATGAAGGTTATTAAGCGTTTTAACTCCTATGTTGTTAATATTGACCACCATTTCCTTTATGAAGTGAAGCAGCCTCCCTGTCTGTGTCCTCGCACTGTCCTCACATCCCCGGACCCCCAGACTCGGAGGAGCATAGGGATGTCAGTATTGTTTATCAAGCAGGGTATATAAAGTACATTATTGAAATGAAAATACTATTTATTTACTTTTACAAACAGTGAGCAGCTGGGCAGCTGCAGCATGTGTATTGCAGGACATGTGTAAGCGTATTTGAGTTGTAGAAAAGCGCTAGGCCTATAGGCTATACATCTAATGTGTCATTATTATTATTATTATTAGGTTATGTCCTATGTGTTGGACATGTGTGGTTGGACTTTGTCTCACAGGCAGGTTGCAGTGTAACATCAGAGGAGACTGGGCCAATTGTACATTCTCAAACTGCACCACTTAGAACTAACTAAACAATGCAGAGATTATTTGTATATAATTGTATTCAATAACCGTAAGAAGTTCAACAGTATGAAGTGATTTGTAAATAGGAATACAGATTTGACTTAATCTTTTCATAAATATATTTTTCTCCCAGTTTGACTTATTTTGACCCTCTCAAAGAACCGGAATTGAGAACCGACAATAACCGGAATCGAAAACCAGAACCAGAATCGTTCAAATCCAAACGATACCCAACCCTATGTGTGATGCAGTAAAATCTTACCGCTGACTTACGTTAACGGTGTCGGTAAAATCGTGGGAAAATGTCAAATACGATGACGAAGAAGAAGATTCCAGTGGCCCCAATTTTTGTCCATTCTGGACAAGTGAAAAATGTATTCGGACAAGTAAATTGCCAAACTCACTTGTCCATGGACAAGTACTCTCTAAAAACTTTTTCTCACACTGTAATAGTATGCATGCAACATTAGTAAAGAACACATTCATTACTAAAATGTAGTACTTAACTAAATGTATTTAAACCACTTATAACGGTTAAAACAGTCATTAGGTATTACTGAAGCTGTGACTGGATTATTTTCACAAATAGAATTAAGGTTTCACAAATCTCAAACTGTGTTATAAAGAATCTTTAGAGTCTCTGGGATAATCCAGTCCAGATTTGATGAGTCTAGGTATAGTGGTTTTCGATCAGGACCTGGTTTTATGTGGACTAGATGTAAAAAAAAAAGCAGCAAAACCTCCCTTTTTTGTATTTTCACAAATAGAATTAAGGTTTCACAAATCTGAAACTGTGTTAATAAAGAATGTTTAGAGTCTCTGAGATAATCCAGTCCAGATTTGATGAGTGTAGGTATAGTGGTTTTCGATCAGGACCTGGTTTTATGTGGACTAGATGCGAAAAAAGCACTGAAATCTGCCTTTTTTTTAATTTTCACAAATCTGAAACTGTGTTATAAAGAATCGTTAGACTCTGGGATAATCCAGTCCAAATAAATCTGCTATGCAGCGATTTAAGAGGTTCAAACACGGAGGATTGTTCGCTCAGCGCTGTAAATTCAGTTTCTGTCAACATGTAAACAATATGTCCGAAACACTGAATATGAACAGTAATGGCGGGAAAACCAGACAGCAGCTGACAAATACACACAACACTGAGCATGTATATGTAACAATATAATGATAAATGTGTTTGAAACATCGTTTATAAACAACAATAATCGTAAAACTGCAGCCATACCTCTCTGGTCTTCCACTACACGCGTTTTCCTCTTCTGTGCCCTTTCTATGTTCCCGCCTTTATATATACAGCCTATGGTTCCCGCCCTCGTTAGTAAGGAAAGCGAAGTGGGACAAAGGAAGGAAAACGCGCACGGAGAAATCATATGGCGATACTATGGAGAGGCGAAGTCACGCCCATCTACTTCCGGACCATGGGACCCCGGAAGCGAAACATTTACATTGAATTCAATGGAGAGAGAACACGTATCTTTTGATCCCGTTTGAATTGTGCCACGAACTACACATATGATGTTTGTCAATCTTAAACAATCATTTCCATGTCAAAAAAGTCACATTTTGTCTTAAAACTGCTGAAATATAAGACTATGAAAAATACGCTACTACAAATCCCAAATCCCATTCTGGGTCGCGTAAGTGATGTCACAGGCATGCTCGGTGATTTATAATAAAACTCGTAATTAAAGCGAAGAAGAAGAAGATCTCATAACTGATTTATTCCCTCCAATAAATTATAGATCGCTAAAAATAAATTCACTTTTACAAGATGCCTGTGTGCTTTGTACCAGGTTGTAGTCATAAAAGTGATCATACCACTTGCTCCTTCTATCGATTCCCGTCTGATGAAAGGACATGTTGTGCATGTTCATGTGCATAGTCAAGTTAGCTACCTAGCTAGTAGCGACGAGTAGCGAGCACGTTAGTTAGCATTACATTACTTAGCCTTGTCATTTTTAGTAGCCTTACCATGAAGTTATTATTTTATTACATGAAGTAAACCAAAATGTTAAACAGTAACCAAACATGATGGTAAGTATTTCGTGAAACATTTGAAGAGTAGCCTACTGCGCCCTCCACCGGGTGCTAAGGAAGCAGTTCAGGGAGAGTCGAAGGCAGGCATGGAGCTTTGCATGACATTCTTCTGGACGTGTTTCATTGTGATGACAATCTGTTTGTTGGAAAGACAGTCGTTGTGTGCTTATTGAGAGAAAATTGTTAGAAGAGATAATTATTCAAAGTGTTGTTACTTTAAAGTGTTGTTACTGACCTTTTTCTCTTTTATTTTCTTTACCTCACCTGTAACTGCTGAGACGTTGAGGAACATGCACACTGACCTACTCTGGCAACCTGATTTCCACTGTACGTAATAGTATTTGGTTCTGGTATATTATTTATATACATCAAAGGCACAATGCACCCCCCAGAGACACACATGTATTGAGTGTGATATTTTGCATAGGTCATGTGAAATCATCTTTACATACTAGAAAACTGTAGGAGCGGCAACTTGTTTTGAAATTGAATTTTTAATATCCGATAATAAAGTTGATCTGTTTTCTTTATTCTTCTCTCTTCCCAGCTCCATCCATCACCATTCTCTGTTCCTGCAGGTCCTGCTTGCTAATCAATGCTCATATTTTTTTACACAATTACAAATAAAGTCCTTGTATTGTATGACATGAAGTTGTGCTTCATTCGGAGTCAATAATAAATTAATTCTGCCTTCAACTGCGCAATGATTGTGGACTGCACCGACATCCATGTAGCTGCCCCCCAGTAAGATGAACCAAGCAAAGAGGGTCACCATCATGCCCAAGGACATCCAGCTGGCCCGCCCGGAGAGAGGGCTTAGACTGACCTGAGACCAGCACACCCAAACACAACGGCTCTTTTAAGAGCCACCTACAGTTTCAAAGAGTTGCAATCCTACGTTATTATAATGATTAAACTGGTTCATGTATCACTTAGTTTACTGAACCGTGATGAATGAAAGAAATTAGTGAGGTAGTGGTTTACTGAAATTACAAAGACATTAATATATGAGTAACAGGTCAGTGTAAACACAAGCTTCTGTCAATTATGGATCATTCAAACTATTTATATAAAAATATGTAATAAAGTTCTAAAACAATTATTCGGTATATTCCTTGATAGCTTTTGGAGAAGGTTGTTTTTAAGTTTACTAAAATCTATCGTTTCAACTGTTTCACTTTATAAAAAGGGAACAGGTGAGTAGAGCATCATTGAGTTTCTTATTCTGTCAGTAAATTATCCAAATGAATGTTTTTCATTATTTTAGTCAACCCTAAACAAATTGATTGTACCTTTTAATAATGACCTTACATGGTCGGCAAAGTTAAATTAACTTCAGAAAATCAAATCTGTTCTGAGAAAAAACTAATAAATGTTTAAAGATAGGAACTTGCCATCCCACTGAAAAACAGTCCGTAGAGATGTTAAGGCGTAGTTGTAGTTCAATCCAACG